AAATAATATCAAGTTAAAACAACTTTCCAAAATCCAAATCACACAACGCTGATCTGGCAAGCCATGAAGTTCATCCGCCAGTGTTGGGTAATGAACTTTGTCGCGGCAGTGATGCCATCACAAATTTATTTTACATTTAGTGGCAAATTTTATAATTTGCTGACATGCGTCGTTTTAGTGCATTGAGAGCCCTTCGCTGCTTTTTTGCGAAGCAATTAATCAACTAATGTCTTAAAAAAATAAAATAGGACTAGAAATAAATACAATAAAATAGCCTAACTAGGAATTTACGGAATTTAAATGATTCCTCGGGACTCGAGGAGTTTTTATTACGAATCTGGCCTTTAGCCAAAACAAAGCACTTACGAGAACACAAAGGCTGCGTTTCTTTATACATTCCGGATAATCCCATTTCACAGCCGGAATAAACAGAATGCTTTTGAAATATACGTTAACATATCATCCGGAACGTTCTAAAGAATAAGTAAACAAAAAAGTTTATTCCAAACGTTCAGAATGAATAAAGAAATTCAGCCAAAATGTAAACTGCCGTTAAATATAGAAATTTATCCATGCAAAATGTACTGTAATTAGACTATTTGCAAATTTTGATAGAATTGTTTGAATTATTGCAAATACCTGCGCCATCTATCCGTGTCAAGATTTAGGAAAATAGAGCTACCCCGGTAATGAGATTAGATGGAAGTGAAAAAAGTTTTCAAGTGGGACAAGACATCGTTGAATGACGTTCTCACGACCCTCGGGTCCACGTAATAACAACGACCCAAATTTAAGTGTAGTCAAGCACTTTTACCCAGCATCGTTCCTCTAAAACTGTTTGGGGTATTTGTATGCTGTTCCAACAAGAACATCCGACTCCAATGTCATCATCTTTTTATCGTCAAAAATGAAATTAAGAGCTCTGGAGCACCCTGTGTCTTATGGCTCAAAAGGCTACGGTTAGTATCCCTTTACTCCCAGTGCGGAGAGGATTCAAATAATATGTAAAGAAAAAGGGATTAAAAAACGTTTGAGCTATTTCAAACTCTGAAATTTAGACCCAGAAAAATTGCACATACTTCCGTTTCATAAATTTATTCATTTTCCTTTGAGAGCTAGAACAACTACATAACAAAACAAATACCTACATATCCAGAGTAGAAGATCGAACCGTCCCGGCAGCCGGTTCGAAAACGTCCTATCTCAGAAAATTTTTCATGGATGGCCTATTTCAGAATTCGGTTCAAAAACACCCTATATCAACATATCTACATTTTCAGTTGAACCAAATTCTGAGTTAGGACATTTTTGAACCAAATTCTGAGATAGAGCGTTCTTCCACCGAATACTGAAGTAGGGCGTTCTTGAGCCATTTTCTGAACAGGGCGTTAGCGGACGATCTCCACTGAGCTATTATAACGAACTAAAGTTCAAGATAATTCTGAAGGATTCGGTTTGAATGCCTATTTTAATTCTATATTTTACTTTGCAGTTGGGTTGTTGCATGCCGTGCCGATTCATTTCATTCAATTCCGTTTTCAGCGGAACTTTCGTTAGCGCTGTCTTCGAGATGTATGACTTTGTATTTTACGTTGAATTTGAGGAGAATCTTTACACGGTCTGACGTGTGTCCTGGCTTAAGATTCAAATTCACGGTTCTTTTTACAAACGATCTATTATTGCATTATATAGGCGCTCTTCATAGCAGTAACACTCCGTTCTTCTTCAGGCATGAGTAAGCTACTCAAATATATGGCTATCGGTATTAATGGCAAGAACAAGAGCAATATTAGAAATAACGGTATCCAAATCCATTCTGAAATGAGAAAATTAAATGGTTTATTATTACGAAATAATAACACATTCACTTGGCACAAAATTTGTTATACATACGAATCGCAATTGATCACTGAGAATACTAATAAATGCTGCAGAGAATAATATGGTAATCTAGTAACAACGCCTATAGTAGCATTTTGGTGAAGAAGAACCCCGACAATGAATACTTGTTTACCAACCAAATGCCAAATAGGGGAAAAATCAATTTGCATATGTATTGTATGCATAGCGCAAACATTTTCAAGAATCACTATTTTATCATGTTAAAACACATTTTGTGGCATATGAAAAACACAATAAATAAATTTACACATTGTGCTTGCAACTAATTGGATATTTATGATTCACCTTTTGTCTTAAACCATTCTTTTTTTCTTCAATAAACAGTTTACACAAGAAACTTTCACATCCACGCCGCGGAAAACACCCACATCACTCAACAAAAGACGACTTCCCCAATCGAAACAAGAACTTCCACTGAAAACGAAAAAATTCATTTTCTGCAAATTGTCATTTTCACATTTGCGTTCATTTAACCAGTGTTGCCAACTCCACACTGCAGTAAACATTCTCCTTGGAAAGACGAACCGTTTAACTCATTTTAAAAAGGAAAATCTCATTTATTAATTTGTAGAGTAGATATTTAATTTTTAAAACATTATAAAGAAAAATGTTGGGCTATCACAATGTTTATACCTTGATCTAGAAACTTAGCTGTATGTGAAAAATATTTTCACAAAAATTCACGTGAAAAAATGTTGTCAAACGGAGATGCATTAAAATTATTTGTTTGTGATTTATATGTCTTTCTCATAGTCCACTTGTACGACTATTTATTTTCCCACGCTATGCCTTCTGCGAATTTTTAAAATTTTAAGCATAATTTTTATTATTACATACATAGTTCCAAAGAACTTTTTACTCAAATATCTATGCTTACTTTGCAATCAATAGGGCAAGGGCTTTAAGCCTGTCAGCATGACAGATGAGATGAGACAAGACGTTTTATCCTTATATATAAAAAGCGAGCCTAAGCCCGGCCTCGTTTTTGCACTGATCGAATCGAATCAAATCTTAGCTCACTTTTTATGCATGAGGGTCAACTTGAAAAGCAAATAAATCAAAAAAATGTATTTAGCTATAAATTATATAGTTGGCAACATTGCATTCAACAACGCATTCCATGCTAGCGTTGCCGAAGCGTTGTGCTAACTGCGAAATTTTATTCTTATTATTTAACCTAAGATTTTTACAAACAGAACACGAAATTTTTAGTTCTTAAAATAATCAACATATAATAAGAATTTAAGTACAGTTGTAGTAAAATAAATTGAGTAAAAACAAATTTCCAAAATCCAAATCACACAACGCTGATCTGGCAAGCCATGAAGTTCATCCGCCAGTGTTGGATAATGAACTTAGTCGCGGCAGTGATGCCATCACGAACTTATTTTACATTTAGTGGCAAATATTTTCATTTGCTGACAGGCGTCTGTTTAGTGAATTGAGAGCCCTTCGATGCTTTTTTTCGAAGCAATTAATCATCTAATATCTTAAAAAAAAAACTGGACTAGAAATAAATACAGTCAAATAGCCTAACTAGGAATTTACGAAATTTAAATGATTCATCGGGACTCGAGGAGTTTTTATTACAAATCTGGCCTTTAGCCAAAACAAATATATATGGCAGCACTTACAAAATACAAAATATTAACTTCCGTTTTATTCTGAGATAGAGCGTTCTTCTACCAAATACTGAAGTAGGGCGTTCTTGAGCCATTTTCTGAGAGAGGGTGTCAGCCGTCGGTATGTATAACGAACTAAGTTCAAGATAATTCTGAAGTATTCGGTTTTGAGAAGATGCCTATTTTAATTCTATATTTTACTTTGCAGTTGGGTTTTTGCGTGCCGTGCCGATTCATTTCATCCAATTCCGTTTGCAGCGGAACTTTCGTTACGCGCTGTCTTCGAGATGTATGACTTTGTATTTTACGTTGAATTTGAGGAGAATCTTTTCACGGTCTAACGTGTGTCCTGGCTTAAGATTCAATTTCACGGCTTCTTTTATACAAACGATCTCTTATTGCATTATATAGGCGCTCTTCATAGCAGTAACACTCCGTTCTTCTTTCAGCGCATGAGTACAGTCTACTCAAATATATGGCTATCGGTATTAATGGCAAGAACAAGAGCAATATTAGAAATAACGGTATCCAAATGCCATTCTGAAATGAGAAAATTAAATGATTTATTATTACGAATAACACATTCACTTGGCACCAAATTTTATTATAAGGATATCGCAATTGATCACTGAGAATACTAATAAGATGGCTGCAGAGAATAATATGGTAATCTAGTAACAGACGCCTATAGTAGCATTTTTGGTGAAGAAGAACCCAGACCAATGAATAGGGACGATACTCACGTACCTCTGCTCAGTCAGAGCGAAGTGAGAGCAGCATAATGTGGCATAAATACAACAAGTCTCCCGAAGTCGGCAATATACAGGCCGCAGCTGATGAACTATTCAAAGCCGTTGACGAGGGACTTAACGACGATAGTGTATGTAAGATTGAAGCAGTTTGTGCACCAACTGAGTGAGCTTACTACACCTGAAAAATGCACCACCGACCTATTCTTCAACGATGCACGCCAGTCGTTTCTCTTCTGTGCCAATTGGAACTACCAAGTCCTTTTCCATTTGGTCTTTGCGCCTCAGTGTAGGCATTCCTCTTCCTCTGCTACCAACAGCGGAATTCGAGTTGCTTATACAGCTCATCCATACGCCAGCACGGGCATGATGATTCTGCGTTGGGTTTCGATCATGATTCAACAACTACAGGTTGTAGCAATCGTACAAAAACAACATTTACCGTTGGTATGAACTCCTTGTGTCATCACCATCTTTTTTATCTATTCATATTCGTGTGTATATGTATGCCCTGCATACCAGGATTTCATAGAATTCTGAAAGGTTTCACAATTTTTTTAAGAATTTTCTTTAAGAAATCGTACAGAAATTTCTTTACTAGTTCTTGTCAACCGCCTCCTATGTTTTTCTTTACAGATTTCTAAAAGAATCGTAACAAATTTCCGACACTCTTAAAGATTTGAGGAGCATTTGTTTGCAGGGTATATATATACGTATATGTGTATGTGTACGCGGATATGTAAATATAGCAAAACAGACGATAATTTGACACAAGCGTGCTCATAAGAAGAAGCATAGCTTCTATCGCTATCACCTGTAATTGATGCGCCTTGGTTTCGATGCTGACATTATTAGCGGTCTTAATGCTGGTTCACAACTGACGATTTGTTTGATAACAGGAGAAACTTTGTCTTGTCCTCGTTTACCAGTTACCTCAGCTTCTTTAACCAGTCATGTCTAAATTTGAGATCTTCCGAAACTTATATGGGGAAACGCTAAAAAGCGCTTGCTAACTTTACACGAGCTGACAAAAATCAAAGATTGTTCTTATAACGAGGCATGGAACCAATATTTACACCATCCATAGTTTGCGTCTAAAGATTAAGCGATGTATAACTCTTGCCAACAGGGACGATTTTTTACAAAGTGCAGAAACCTTGATTATGAGTGGACGACAAGAACAAAACGGAATGACCATGTGCAAAGAGGTCAGAAAAAAAAAAATAATAATAATTGGCGAAATTATTGGTCTAAACCAAACCCGACAAGCAGTTATAGGGCCATGAGTGGAAAGTAGGTTGATTACAATAAGGGTGCGTTCACACAGAAAGCCGAGCGGCGCCAAGCGAAACAATGTGGAACAAAGCGAAGCTGCTGGTGTTCACACTGAATGAAGCGAAGCGCAGCTTTTCTAAAGGATTCTGCTGCAAATATACCACAAAACTTACCGTCAATGAAAAGCGGTAAAAATATTTGCTCATTTTTATTTAAAAGATTCGTTGTAAAATTCGTTTTGATTTGAATATTTTGATATCTTGTTTGCAGTAGCGTCATGAAACATAAAAATTAAATAGATAATTCAAAATCTTAAACTGCTTTGCTTTCAGCTTCAAAATGCTTACGAAAACGCTTGCTGTATGAACTCTTTCATATATGTAGCTACTGCAATTTGAAAGCTTCACTCAGCTCGGAACGGCTTCGCTCGGCTCGGCTCCGCTTACTGTGTGAACGTACCCTAAGTGTTGAACGCTTACCTTGCCATGCGCATACTGCACACATTCAGAATACCGTTCAATATCGTCATTGGTTGTATTGACTGCTCTACTCAGTTCTTCACTGGCAAATGATCGGTAATTCTTCAAACCATTCACAAACATTTCATCCAAATCTTGTGTAGTGTCATTCAACACGCCAACCAGTTTGTCCTTTGAAAATCTTTCAATTTTTTCCACCTCCCCCAAGCAACTTTCTGTGCCTTTGTGGAATCCTCCTTCAAAATTTGTTTCAATCTGTTTGCATTGCTTGGCAATGTGTGCCATGAGTTTGGGTATTTCATGATTATCAAACGGATCTATCAAATGCTTCTTTAGCACATACAAATTACAATGGGAAAGTTCTAAATCCTCTCTTGGATTTTTCATTTCCTCACTCACAAATGAGTTCATTTCATTGTAATACCTTATAAATTCCTTCAGGTCAAATTGAATTTTGAAATCATTACAGACTTCTAGCAAAGAACTTTCATCGGCATATAATGCGTTTTGCTTAAGTTTTTCCTTGACTGGCGACATTTTTGTAAATTTAGCTTCCAATTCCATAGTTGCTTCGCTGATATTCAGTGATGGTGCCATTCTGTTTCCCACTTTCATAGCATTTGACGCCAGAAATGCATTATTTTCCCGATTTCGACAAATATTCGCAGGCTCTTCAGCTGTATCGCTAGCCTCATCATCGGCTTCAGCTCTTTCGCTCATCGACTGATTTCTATCTGCAGATGCTAACGCGTCCGATGATTCGGTCAATGAAGCCAACATTTCATCCGTTGTCTCTGAAGTAGATAGGTTCGAAGTTGTTTCAGCGCCCAAATTACTTACGGATCGTCTATATCTGTATTGTTGAGCTCTTTCAAGTCTCTCCCTTGTGCACCGTTCATTGTAGGCGGCCACACCATATTCGTAGTTCCACCATATGGGTAGAAGAGCGAGCAGATATAACAAGCTCATCATATAGACTGTTCTAAAGTGTAATTAAAAAAAGGGAAAGATATTTCTTCCGCGTTAAAGTGCATACTTGATCAACATACAATTGGAATAAAGAGGAACCACACTGCTGACTCCAGCATTTTCTTTTTCTTTCACGTTCACTCTCACCTCTCCAGCGTTGTCCGCAACATCTTAGTATCAATGCCATCAGTAAGATAAATACTATCTGTAACGATAGGTGAAATATTAATTTATTCACAGATGCTAAAATTTGTGAAAAGTTGCACAAGCTTCATATTATCTGCGTCAAACAAGAATAAGATTAGATCGGTTTAAAATATTTATCGGATAATCGCTACTTTGACCGCGAAGTTATCTACCACATTAAGAGAAGTTCTCTAAAAGCATAGGCAGACGGCAGCGTTGATCCAGATCAAACCGCTAATTCTGAATTATCTCGGGATCTGCAGTTTATCCGGTTTAAGTCCTAGAATTAATTCTTTAACTTAATGTGGATCAGGAGCATTTTCGATGACAACACTGATCAACCAGGTTCCCGGCAACAGAGGACTTATTAGGCTAATTGACTGTCACCAGATCGAATAACCGTAGGCCCAGGAAACGTGCGGTTTAAACTGCTAAGTGCGTTCAAGCAGAGGTAATGGTTAGTATCGCGTGGGGTTTCTTCGTAAACTAGACCTGCGTTTGGTAAGCCTGAGCCTGCGTTTGGTATAAGTAAGAGTTTACCAGACTCACGAGGTACACCCACACACAGCACAGGTAGTTGTTGAACTTCGATTACGGCATTCACGGAGCGAGAGCTGATGACGTTGGTGACAGTCACTCATTGAATGTTGTTCAACGCTTATAGTCTGAAGGTATGGGCATCGAGGCACGTTTGACTAGTCTGTGAAAATGCTCGAGCTGAAGTACGTAGTATGTGTCGGTTTACGCGATTCCTAGGGAGGCGACTTCAGAAGACATCTTGTTGCTGTACGGAGTGTAGTGCTTTGGTGGATCTGTATTTATACCAACTCCGGAAGCTTAATTGCCTTATATGCTGTTACCAACAATGTTTTTTGGTCCTTGTCGCAAGAGCCGCCGGCAATCGATTAGACGACCTTGTTGCGGATAGGAAGATTACCGTATATGCGTACTACCACTCCGTAGAACCTGCGTTCGATACCTGGTGCGCGCAACATCTAATTAGAAAATGTTTTTTTTTCTAACAGCGGTCGCACCTCGGCGGGCAATGCCAAACCTCCGAGTGTATTTCCGCCAGGAAAAAGCTCCTCATAAAATCTGTTAGCTGTTCCACAAATTGGAGAAGCAGCACGGCCAAACGCTTTGCAAAAGTGTAAGCGTCAAAATATTATAATTATTAAAAATTAAATTCAGTTAAATGAAACATACCAAAATTATCCAAACAAAGCATAGCCATTCGAAAATCAACACCCACGTGGGAGCTGCTTTGTATTTGCGTTCCTCGTCGGAGCTATCGGTTGATCTTAGCTTTGCATCATTCGCAGCAAACTCGTCCGTCAAATTTTGGGAAAGAACACGAAGAGTATTGCCTTTCATGTAAATTCACGGGAGGATCCAGATTTTTAAATTTAAAAAAAAAAACGAGTGATTATGCATGTTACCTCTTCCTTCTAAATCATCATTCACTTCGTCCAAATATGGTGTCAGTACTTGTTTTACAACTGAATCCAAATTTTTCGTCAACATATTTGATTGGCTGTAGACCTCTTCGGTGCTATTCACGATATTCCCAAGCAAGCGAAGCAATTCGCTCATTTTAAATAACTAAATTGGAAAAGCGAAGTTTCTGAAGCTTTATGCAAAAAAAAAGTATAAAGCCCAATAACTTACCGTTGACATTTGCATCCACAGGCTATCCGAATTTATAAAATTCGATTTTGAATAGAAAGCACGACCCTCTTTCGTTTGGGCCAAAAATGTTGTCATATTCCGAAAAATGGCACGTGTAACTAAGAGCGTAATGAGCATTTTTTATTAAAAAAACAAAAAACTTTCTGAAAATACATACAATCATTCCACATAATAATCTCTACACAAAGTTCATCGATATCATTTTGCATATTCGAAACGGTTTCATTTAACTGCTGCCTTGCTGCTGGTGTACTGCACGCACTATCTAAATCAGAATCCAGATCCTTTTTAGCACGCTGGGAGGAACTTGAAATGATATCTACATACGTTTGTTTGACAAAATTTAATGTTATTCGAAATATATGTATGTATGTAGTACTTATGTATATATCACGCTTACCATCCACAGAACGGAAGGCGGCGACATGAAAATTGTGATAGTCAGTAACGAGTGCTTTTTCAATACTTCGCAGCTTAGTAGAATTTCCTGGTGTACTGCTTTCATAAGAGCTTTCATGCTCTTTCTCAAATTCCCGATTTTTAAGCGTCCAATCAATAGCATTCGCAAGAAAATATCTAAAAAAAAGTGCAGAGTTCATAAACGCTTGAAAGTAAAAACCGGACATAATCGCTTTTTGGTAAACTTAAAGGTGGACATAAACTTATAGTCATTTGAAAATTGGACATAATTTTTTTGTTAATTTAAAAAGTGAACATCACTCTTTTGTCATCCTAAAAGTTGGACATACATTTTTGGCTATCTTAAAAGTTGGACATAAATGTTCGTTGATTCAAAAATGGACATAAATTTATGGTAATTTAAACTAGACAAATTTATGGAATTTATGCTGGGCGTCAATTTATGGTCGTTTAAACTGGACATATATTTATGGTCATTTAAGCTGGACATCGATTTTTGTACACATAACATAAACAATGAAAAAGTGGATATATATAAAGCTGAAAATGAACCATAGAAGATAGTCAACAACTAACAGCCAATTTCACGAAAGCAATTTAACTGAAAAATTATTTTAATTTTTTGAAATTTATATGGAAATTTACGGAAAATAAAAAATCATTTTCCATTTAAATTACTAGTGAAACAAGCAAGAAATTTAAAAGTGTGTATTTTTATTGTCCAGTTTTTTACCATTCAATTCAATATTTCATAGCCCAGGTTTAAATTATGTTCATTTTTTAAATAGCCAAAGTTCATCTTCAGTTTTCACTTTAAAACGTTCATATGACAATGGCGCAGAGCTTTTAGCAGCAAGTATATGTACATATACATACATACTTACAGAATCAAAGGTAAAAGAAGCAGCAGCAAAATACTAAAAACCCAACGACAACATTTTTGGCACTTCCCCTCGCAATGCAATTTGTATTGATTACAACGTCTCTTACAGCGTAAGCAAGCATAAATTAAACTGAAAATGTGAAGATTTCAGCAATAAGGAAAGAAAAAAGCTTATGCTTGAACTTACCAAGTCAGTAAAACAAAAGAAACTAAAATTAGCGTAACAATTCCAATCGCAGAGTAAAGAAATATCTTGTCTTTATGTTTTTCTTCTGAAATCCCAAAAAAAGAGCAATAAGATTACGTATTAGAAACAAAATTCTAGACGTACATATCGCGCAGCTAGATCTAAAGTGAGCTAACTTAAAATTCGGAGAGGAAAATTTAACTGCTTGTGGATCGTACAGATTCAACGCAATTAATACAAAAACAGGTATAACAGTAGTTTTTTAATTATTGTATATAATCATGAAGAAAAAAAAAATATTTCCATTATTTGGATGTAAGTCTTATGAATTGATTTATGCAAACGAATCGCCCAAAATTACAATTTCAATATTGTCTTTGTCCATGTCTTTCAAGTAACTTGAAAACGGAACTTACTTTGGGGCCCATGGGCCTCATGACTTTCAGAGAAGTAAGAAGAGTCTAATTCTAGTATATTTCGACAATATCGTTCTTTCTGTGGGTAAAAACAAATATATTTTACTGTTCAATATTGGAGGGGGTGTGAAACAAAATTTATGATTTATTGTTAGTATGAAAATTAGAATCATAATTATCAACTTATTGAGCATTAGACCTCTTCTCTTTTAAAAACAAAAGGAAAAATGTTCGGTAATTTGTTCAATGGTTTTGCGGTGGCAAGCCGAGACGGACCCATTAAAAAATTGGGTAAAATTAAAATTTTGACAGAGAAAGTCCAACTCCGGCTACGCTGACCACAGAATTGTTTAATAATTTGTTTCTGAAAGTTAGAAATCTTTATTTTAAACTAACGTGTAATTGTTTGACCACATGTGTGTGTCAAAATTTTTTTGCTTTGGGTTAAGCATTTGGACACATTAACCCAAAATTACTGTTGTACAAGTAACCGAGCCATACCCAACAATATACCTTTTGATTGTTCAAATTTCGATTCTAAGAACAAAATGTTTGTAAAAAACGAAAAAAATTAATAACAAAATTTGGAGGGTTTTAGATATTGGGTATGGTAGCACGAAATGTCACAATCTACTCAATTGTCAGGTTGTTAATATGGCGACGAAAAAGTGACAATGGAACTACCTGCCAATGCTTTCACCCCCTAGGATTGTTCTATACCAAAAAAATTATACCCATATTTTTTTATTTTGAAATCCAAAAATATTTAGAGGTCAAAGCGCTCAAAGTTTTCCATATATTTTTATCTGGGAAAAATACATTTTTTCGTAGAAATACCATGAAAGCCAATATTTTTCGATCGGAAAACTTTGGTTCTCTTCAGGAGACTTTCAATAATAATACCCAATTGTTTATTTAACCATTTTTTAATACTAACGATTTTTTAATGGTCGCCCCATTGCATTTTTCGCGGTTTTTGTGGGTTTTTGGCGGACCTAAAAAATATAGCTTCAATAAAAAAATGGTTAAATAAACAATTGGATATTATTATTGGGAATCTCCTGCCGATAAACGGAGTTTTCTGGTAGAAAAATATTGATTTTCAACTATTCTATACCATTTCTACGAAAGTTGTTTTTTCCCCATATAAAATACATGGAAAACTTTGGGCGCTTTGAGCGACCTCTAAATACTTTTTGATTTCAAAATAAAAAAAATAGGGGTATATTTTTTTCGATATAGAACCATCCTAGGGGGTGAGAGCATTACAATATCGACTTTACTTTTTCACATACAGTTTTGGACCACCCTAATGTACATACGTACGTACATATATAGGAAATGCGTGAAAGGCGATTCCAAAAATGTCAATAAATCTCGCGCTTTTCTTTAATTTGGCTTTGAATTTTGGTAAGGAGATGCGTCTAAGTGTAAACTAAACGAATATTTATGATGTCGATATTTATATACATATATTACAACACCTACCAGAATCATCTTTTGTAAAATCACTCATGAAATTATCAATTAGAGGATCCTTCTTGTCTGCATTGTCACCAATAGTCCTTTCTGCAACTTCGTAAGACTTACATGGATCCATTTGTAATCAAAGGCTGATTTATTTCTTAGTTAGGCTTTTGGCATTCGGTATTTGAATACTTTTCATGAACTACAACTGCATGTGATTTTTCTATTTGTAAATTGAAGTAAAGACAGTTGGCATGTCGAAACAAAAAAGGGTGCCGTGTTTCAGTGCGCCACGTAAAATTGTTAACCCTGAGATACCCAGAATGGCTTATTCGCATAATACGCTAGTCTACCTACCATACCGACATAGTAATATAATTTTACTTTGGCACCAAATCAGAAAAATACGCAACTTTTTTTTGAAACTTGGAAGTGTCTTTTTCAACCTCTAAATGACCTTCGAACTTCAACTCGTGCTGGAATTTTAAAATGGACGAACATGTTTTTACTGAAAAACGAAGAAATAGCAATTACCAAGTCGGGAATGTGCTATCTTTTGGTAATATTACCGACTTCCGCATTCGACCGGAAGTGGGTGTCAAACCGACTGGAAGTCTATTCTTTTAAACGGAAGTCCATTTGCGACAACAGTTACGTATTTTTGTCCGCAGAATCCCAATCAGTGGTAAAAGCATGCATGTCCCATTTAAAAAAATTTACATCCGGTGAGTTTAACCCATTTCGTGTTTATGCAATTTTTGATTATTACTTCACCAGTTCTGAACCAAGTAATAAAAGAAAAAACTTTAAGCAATGTAGATATATTTTCGGTCGAGTTTTTTTTCAAATATGCTAAAATTATTTTTGCATAGGCTCTAGATAGGAACCCCAAGTTTTGAGGATTGAAATTCAGGGGAGTGTAATTTTTAATATTTGAAAATAAATTTCTTTCTCGCTCGTTGATATACTCGGAGTGGCATTATCGTAGCTTAGTTTTAAGCAGATACGCGAAAAGTGACGTAAGATCTCCCATCCACCTACGAAACGCTGGGCAACCCCTTTTACCCCTGGACGAAGGGGGTCAGACCACAGCTGTGAATCCACGTCGATGACGAACCAATTACCTTCGATAATCTGCTCTCCTGGGTATATACAACCGCAATTGCCAATAGAGTACAAAGCCGCAAAAAGGTCCTCAAGTAGCTAGCCGGCAGCATATGGGGCAAACACAAAGAAACGTTGTTGGCAACATACAACGCAATTTACTGGCGGGTTCAAACTATTCAGCGCCCGTGTAATCGCCGGGGACTAGCAGGACGCAGTGGACGAAGCTAGAGGCATGCCAGAACACGACACTTCGAACCGCAAACGGATGCTGTCTGATGTCGCCATAGCACCACCTTCACGACGGAGCATAACATGATGCTCTTCAAGCAGTTCTTAGTAGGGTGTCATAGACGCTGGCACCCGAATAAACACTTGTTTGCAGCATAGCCCGCGCTTAGACGGACGAAGTCCAGAGGTTCATAAAACAGCCTCTGGACCCGGCAGCATACCAACAGGCCATAAAAGGCATTGACAGGGAGTCGATCTCGATTTACACCGTACACTTCCTGGCTCTCCCGTTGGTTGAGCTCGGCGACAACGACTGATGGGCATGCCCTTCTAGGCAGAGCTAAGTAAGCAGCTACCACCAGGTCTTCGGAAGGGGAGCGGAGCAAAGAGCAAAAGACCAAGGAGTAAAGAGCAAAGGACCAAGGAGCAAAGAGCAAAGGACCGAGAAGCAAAGAGCAAAGGACCAAGGAGCTAAGAAGCAAAGGATTTTAGCTGGAGCAAAGAGCTAAAATAAAAAAATTAATTTGCTCCTTAGCTCCTTAAAGAAAAACTTTCAATATTTTGTTTTTGTTATTTTCTGGCTTGGCAACGCTTTACATATTTTGAAATATTTTTATTGTTGTTTTTCCACAAAAACTTTCAATAATAACGTCCTAAGCTCAATATGAATTAAAAAAAATGTTCAAAGGCCTTATGTGAGCCTTATTTTGCACAGCACATAACCCTCAGAGAGAGAGAATTAATCTTATTCGCAAACAAAATGGCAGCTGTTTTCTCTACAATACAAGTTAAATGGGCGAAGCACACTCGCTATCGAATGCCGTGATCTCAAAATCAAATTTCGATTCGAATTACGTTCGATATCGAATGCCGCGATTCGGGACCAGGTGTAGTATAAAGGTTCTGCCACACAACTGGTATTCCTTACTGGTCTCATGCATTAAATGATAAGATGAAGCGCATTTAAGGTTTGGATTTTTTGGTAGGTTGGTTTACCAATTGTGTTTGTAAAAATCTAAGGCCTTTTGCAAGATTTGACAAGTAACCTTTTCTTCATGATGTCTATGTGCTAAATCTGAAGTTACACTGCAGGATGAACCAATTAGTCCATGAAGTGCTTCAGTTACCACACAGTAACGTCGGCAAAACTCTATGTACATTTATACAATGCTTAAAAGGCTTATCCGACGGTATGTATGTATGTAGGTAGTCGACACTAAATTTAAGATAGAGTAGTGCTTCCCACTTTCCTCCTCTGCAGAAGGATATTTTTTCCATCGCTATCCAATTAAGGTGATTTCAAATGGCTTAGGGTAAAACTATTCTAAGGGAGAGTTCATAAATCACGTACATCTCGAGGAAAAATAACTTTTTTGAGTTGTGATTGAACTATTTTCTTATTTAACCAAGTGAAGGACACAATTAGTTATTAAGTAATATAAGTATTATTCTATTTTACCACAAAATGTGCAATTATATTAGATACGTTAGCTTACTGTGTGTTATTTACTAAATTATATTCATAATAATTAGCTGATATGATGTTTAGTAGAAAAGCTGTAAATAAATATTATCTCCTGGCAGGTCATGTAAAAGAGTGAAGCAAATCTTAAATAAAATAGTAATTACTTTGTACACGTTGACATACTATGTGCTGATGCATCTAAAACTATAGAGCAAAATCTAGCAAACCGAATTCTTAAAGAAAGTCAATTCAATTCATGTTAAAAGGATAACATTTAAGAAATGCACCTGTTTTATCGCACTCGCTTTTTCTTTATTTTCAATCAATTACAACGCTAAGTTTAAGGATTCACAAAAATAGTATTTCAACTCTTCGTTATTAAAATATACATTTGAACTTAGTGGAGTAGCCACCTACAGTGAAAAAAGACTAAATCAAATTATTATTTATCTGTTGATGTTGAAGGTATATTCCTAATAACAAAATATCTTATGTTATTTTGTGGACATTGCATAATAATTTCTTTACAAATTCTTTAATCAAGATGGGGTTTTAAAAACAAAACCACAAGCAAAGCTCAGAGCTCCTTTTAATATTCTACATTATTATTTCTTTTTTTTTTATATACAGCACACACATACATACAGAACGAACATGCATACATGCATTAAAAATACATTTGCTCTTTTTTAAATTAAAGTTAAAATTATAAATAACTTCATTACAGGAATTCATTGTGTTATTAGCTTAAAATTTAGCAACTAAAAAATAAAAAGTCAGCACTTATTTTTTAAGTTTTAATCTTTTTTCATAATGCGTTCTATTTGCGTTGCATTTCACAAATTCATCTCTCAAAAAATACGAAAACAGAAGGGTCCTTTTTTTTGGTTTTTCTTAATTTACTAAAAACTACAGTTGTGCCATTGAGTCTGATCGCATTAATGGTGCTAGTGGACTCGTCGATTTGTTGCCACATTCAATTTCATACTGCACATCCACAGAGGCACCTGGAAAATAACAGATGGTAGTATTATTTACAATATTAAAAAAAAAAATCATATGTATATATATATATATATATTATATATATGAAATTAAGTCCACTTACGCTTTTTTTCACTTGCAGTTCGACTAATATTTATATCGTTATGTTTATCTGGAATGTAGATTGCAACCACAATCGCCAGTATTACCATGAGTGCGCCAATAGCAAATGGTGGACCTGGTATCAATTCTGTGTATTTATTACTTTCCTTTTGTACGGGGCTATCAGGATTTTTTCCCAACAAATCGTCATTCAAATCCACATTGAATAAGTAGAAAATCACACCAAATAAAGCTGGTCCCAAACCATTGCACAGACCGCGCATACCAGTTACCATGCCTTGAACGGCACCTGTAAATTGTCAAAAGATAGAGATAGAATTTTAGTTGTAGTACTGGATGTTAAATATGAAAAAGAAGATAAAAGCAACTGAGGAATGTTGGTGTCTTTTTCCCAAAATAGCTTTTCTCAGTCCTTCGTATAAAGACTACCAAGGCAAAGCTAGGTCACAGTGAAGTCACTCGTCTACTTAGTATGCGGATTTATCGAAAATAATTCTTTACAAACTCGTCGACCAGAGCATTTCGCGAGGTGTGCATTCTAAGTCCTATTCAGCCAGACATATGTACGTGCTAAAATCTCGAAGGTTTTACTATGTTCTCAAAATTTTTATAAATTTCGAATCTTCCGCGAGTTGCATTTAATGTAAGGTCCAAATTAAGTGTTCGGTCCACTTTACATAGAACTCAACTTATTTTCATTCGTTTTAGTCAAAAAAAAAAAACTCTTAGTTCACTTTTCTTTGCGTCGAATACGGACAATTTAATAATACGCTTTCAATTAAAAACAGTTATTTGTATTCAAGTGGTTACTTACCCTGCCTGTCGGGGTGTGAATGAATTGAAACAAAAGCGCTTATCGCTGGATAAGTTATCGATCCAAGTGCGGCCAATATGCCAGCTGCCCACATCATCCTTCAAAAGTGAAATGGCAACAAAAATAAGTCAAGGACGGAGTTACAAAGAAAAATAAATTAGATTTACAACTTACCATGACTTACTGCCTAAACCGTACCACAATAATTGTAACATTTCTAATACTAATCCTAAAATAATAGTATTTTTTGCACCAAATACCCTGAAACATATGAAATTACATTTAATTAAAAAATATAGTGTACTAATATCGAAAAATCAAACTCAAACTTAATTTGTATGCATTCCATTACTCACCGCATCAAATAGCCCAATGTCACTTGAACGGATATGCTAAGCGTACCAACAACTGCTATGAAAACTGCCACTTCCATTGAATTGAAGCCCATTTTCAATTTTAGATATACAAATATACATGAATATTGTCCCGCCTCAGGCAGATATGACAAAAGCACAGCGACACATTGCATTAGTATGGTCTGATCGGAGCCCACCTTGCGCAGCGCCTATACAGACATATGTACATAAGCCATTAAAATTGAAGTGAACATCATTAAATGTACATACATACAAAAGTCCACATACTACCATATGATGGATAGGTGTGTAAAGTTATCTAATTAAGTATTAGTGACTTACAGAGAAGGGATCAGCCTGTTCCCAACTAATGGGCGCACCCCACGAAGAAGGACGTATTTTTTCAGGCAAGCTTTCGGGCACGGCAACTAATATGAAGAAAACGTCAAGAACCGCGATGGCGGTCGCAAGCGCAGCAACTAATGTATCACCATACGTTTCCATTAGCAAAGCACCGAGTGCGGGTGAAATCACCTAAATGGACAAAGAAATGTATTCATTTAATTTTAATTTCAATTAAGTTTGCGACTTGTCGCATTTCTAAGGCGTACTACATTAGCACTATAACTTTACATACTTATAATCATTTTAAATATTCGCACTACATACATACAATCACACAAGAAGTAGTATACATTACCAGACTGGCTGCAAATGTAGCCGAAACTAAGCCATAAGCACGCGACCTCTCCTCGACTGTAGTGACATCAGCCACGTAAGCAAATACCACTGAGAATGTAACTGCTAGTGCACCACTTATGGAGATCATTGCAAAAAACCACCATGAATTGATGGCCATTAGCGGTATAGGTGCACATGTGAAAAATACTGTGATGAGTAGGAAAAATTTTCGTCCCCAAATATCGGAGAGCGCACCGACTAGGGGTGCGCTCAAGAAGGACAGTATGCCTTTAATGCCCATTACAAGTCCGTTCATGAGAAATGTGTGATCGGGAAATGTTTGATTTAGCGTCTGTAAAAAACGGATAAATTGGTATGTTGTGAAATAAAGAAAGCGAAGTGAAGCCAAAACTTGTACTTACCGCTATTACTGGCATTGTTAAGAGACCCCACGCGAAGAATTCTAAAAATATTACAACCAAGGCGTGATATACACTCGGCTCGCCGATGCCGGAACTCTGCAAAACAAAAAGTATACATAAATTTAATAAAATGTATATATAAGTTATTCAGATTGAAATAAAGCTGTAAAAGTTGGAGCTGTAAAAAATTAGTTTTAGAACATTTTTGGATTTTTTAAGGTTTTTTGAGATCTTTCGAGTTTTTTTTCGTACTGTTTCATACATATAAATCTTACCGCTTTGACTTTTCCAAAGTTCTCGAGATTTTATTCAGTTTTTTTTTTTTAGTTTACAAGCCTTTTTGGGATCTTTCGAGATTTTTAAAGTTACTGAATTCCTACTATTGATTTAAATTTTGTTCTTTTTATCATACAAAAGCAAAATTTATCGGCATTTCATGCTCGAAATATTATAAGTTTATACGAATTTCATGAAACTTTATTTACTTTGTATTATAAGATATTTACGCGGTATGGAACAAAAGAAGCGTCATTTTTCAAAAAAAATTATCCGGTTATCAATTCGTTGGAATTTTTCGATGCATGTTACCGCATAACTTTGGACCACGTTAACCGAAGGCTGATACCTTCCAGGTGGTCCCGTACAAATTTGGCTTAGATCTGATCAGTGGATCATAAAGAAATGAACGGTACTCTTAAATTTTTATAGGTTATTAAAGCTGGGTTTTTTTTTGCTTAAAAATGACTTGTTTTTTTTTTGTTTCTTCTGTAAAACTCAAAAATTCTGATTGCATTAATAATAACAACAATATTTTGTCGCTTAAACTTTGCTTATTTTTGACCGAGCTTTTCCTCCAATTTGTGGTGTACGTCTTGATGTTTTTACAGAAATGGAGGGAGTTTTGGGCCTCCTCCGAATGGCAAATGGATTTTATGCGAAACTTTTTCATGACAGAAATACACTAGGAGACTGGACATTGCCTGCCAAGGGGCGGCCTCTGTTAGAAAAAACTTTTCCTAATTTAGATGTTGCTGGGACCAACATCGAACCCAGGTCCTACGAAGTGGTAATACGCACCTCTTACCATTCGGCCACAGTGGCAATGGTATTTTGTCTGGGTATGCAGTTAAATTTGCACGACCATACTCTATCCCGACTCGTGCGGCCTGTTCGAGCACGCTGGGCCACGTGGGCCCGTGGTAGCTTTAGAAGGGCCATTCCGACTTATTTGGTTTAAGGGCTCACTGAAGTCAGCAGCGTCTTTTCAGCAGTACCATCTTTAAAAGGCCTCAGCAATGAGCTGCGCGCTTGGCTTGGAATCCGCCACTGTCCAATGAATCGATTTCGAGAGCGTCGGATCACCGCAGTACAGAAAATACGATGGGCGAGGCCTAGGTGCAATTGCCAAAACCCACATAAGGGATAAATTAAATAACAATTGTCTGTCCGCTTCCAGGGAGGAGAAGGTCGATGAGACGTTTCCATGAGCGGCTGAGAGTAGCGTATTAGCGCTTCTTGGTGACTTTAACGCTAGGTTGGGCACAGAAGACATATTTGGTCCAACAGCTGGAAAACTCAGACTTCATGACAACACCTCCGACCACCGAGTAAGGCTGATCGACTTCGCCGCGGCACGCGACACGGTAGTTAGTTGTACTAGGCACCAGCATCGAAACAGCCATAAAGGCAATTGAGCGTACCCTGATCAAAGAAACAATAACTAAATTTCGATAGACCGAAGAGTTCTTGACATGCGTTCTATCCTTGTTAAAGACGTGTTTAGAGATGCTTGCAGGCAGGAATGTGGCTTGAAAATTCTATCAAAAAATTGTTAGCAAATAAATGATTTCAAGAGAGGGGATTGTTTCTTCAAAGACGAAGATAGAAATCTGGCAAATAGACATGAGATATGGAGATGCAATTTATCAATGCACTGAATGGCGACACAGGTGGCGGGCGCGTTATTAAATTATAAAAGTTCTGCAAATTTTCACCAAAATTTCAAACTTTTTATTTAGAATCTTTATAAAAAACCTTGATATGCAGTTTTCTAGCGCATTTAATTAATAATGAAGTGCAAGGTTCAAGTTGCTAAAAATGCCGTTGATTTTAGAGAATTTTTCTGGTTGAAGGTGCTTGACGTTTTTTCCAGACAAAGTATGTTCGACAATTTTCTTTTATATGGGGGACACTGCCAGCAAAAAAATTGCCAAAAATCAACGGGATTTTGTAGCATGTTGAAACCTGTACTTCATTATACTCGAATTAAATGGGCTACAAAACTGCATACCAAAATTTTCTCACAGATTCTGATTAAAAAGTTTCAAACTTTGGTGAAAATTTGCAGAATTTTTATAATTTTTTTACAAAGTTTGAAATCAGAAATTACATGTTACATCAATGTTTACTGTATAATCAGCTAGACTTTAAAAAAAAAAATAACAATAAATATGTAATAAACAAAGGAAAAATAGCCAAAACTGGTCAAATCATCGCACTCTTATAATTTTGTGGACCACTATATATATTATTATTTTATATATTTTTTCCAGAAAACAAAATTTCCTTTCACTTTTTTGGTATATTTTTCTAAGCAACCCTACTAGTCCAGAATGGATTCAAAAAGCACGTTCAATAACGAGTAAAACAAATTATTTTCCACTTAAGCAACAATTATTCTCAAACCTAAAAGTTTATTCAAAATATCCATTAACTACGCTTCACGCCTACCTTGAAATGCAAGCAAAGCCAGCGTGTCCAATTTAACAAACGCCATTCCGTATTCACAGTAAGCACCGACGGTAGCGGCATGTCATTACCACTCGTACCCATTGCATATGCCGAACATGTCGCATCATCACTTTCGGCACCTTTTATTGGCCTTTTGTGACTTAATTTAGTAACCTGATTGAGGATGGCACGTTTAGCCAGCACCTGCTGCTGCACATCTGGAATAGTTGTGCTTATATTGTCTGCGTCTAAGTCATTTATAGTGGTCGTAGTTGCAGTGGCGATGGAAAACGAAATATTATCCTCAGATATGGAAGTTGCATTGTTTGGATCTATAAAAAGCTGTTGTTGTTGCGTTTGTGCAGAAGCAGCCGATATGGCGATCAATTTTAATTGCGCTTGTGCAACGGGCAAGGTGGTGCTGTTCATAGCTTTCATTTTGGATAGATTAGCAAACGGATATGAAAAATCTGTCATTACATTGGCCACATCAGCCGTTGTTGGCGTCGACGATGTGGTGTGCGATGCAGTAGACCCTTTCGAACCACTATTGTCTGTGTCTTCCCTAGCAAAAGCAGGCGGTGTGCTATTAGTAAGCTGCCATTGATGGCACTGTTGTTGGTGTTGCTGCTGCTGCTGCTGCTGCTGCTGCTGTTGATGATGTTCCACATCAACCGCCGTCTGCTCTGCAGTGTTGGTAGTGTTAGTTAGAAGGCTAGCTGTATTAACAGTTGCAATTGCAGTAAATTCATTCTTATTGTGATCGTTTGCCAAATTTGCATTATCATCTCTAGGTAGATTTCCAATGCTGTAGGTGCTGCTATAGCTGAGGCTGTCACTGCTGTTGCTGCTGCTACTGCTGCTGCTTCTGCTAATCATACTCCTCCTCTTGCTTTTGCCTAAAGTACTGCCGGGCATGGCTACGATCATCAGCGGCGAAGGGGCGGTGGCCACATCATCGACCAGCATATCGGTAATGGTAGCCTCATCCTCACTCTCATCGATTTCAAAGCTGGTCGTATCGGCCTCTGTGATCTCACAGCTCGACGAGACTGGATCTTCGGTGTGTGTGGAAGTTTCGGCGGCATCATGAGACGCTGTAGCATCAATGCTCATGACGGGGCAAAGTTTTGCAACTTAAATTTTAGGCAAATGTTAAACATTTGCAAATAAAGCGAGATTTCGTGGTAGTCTACAATGTTGCGATATTTTTGACTTGAGTTTTATGTCGATTAGTAGATAATGATAATAAGTGTTGTTTTTTTTTGTGATGATAAAGTTGTTGTACTTGTTGTATGTTGTTTAATTTCTTTGCCGATCCCTTGGTGGCATGAGAGCTCACACAATCTTAATTGCACACAATATCGCTNGATTTCGTGGTAGTCTACAATGTTGCGATATTTTTGACTTTAGTTTTATGTCGATTAGTAGTAGTAGTTTTTTTGTGATGATAAAGTTGTTGTACTTGTTGTATGTTGTTTAATTTCTTTGCCGATCCCTTGGTGGCATGAGAGCTCACACAATCTTAATTGCACACAATATCGCTACGCGTATCACACTCTTTCGAAATCCGAACTGATCGCACGATCACTCTTCATTCGCCAATCAGCTATGTACATATGTATGCGAAGAATTTAGCTTATTTATTTGCAAGTTTTTTAATCACAGCATAATTTATATACATATACACATGTTAAAACAATTTTATTACTCTAATTATAATTTTGTTTTTTTTAGTGTTTGCTATTTCTTTGTCGCTAAACATTGTCCATAAATTNGCGCGTATCACACTCTTTCGATATCCGAACTGATCGCACGATCACTCTTCACTCGCCAATCAGCTATGTACATATGTATGCGAAGAATTTAGCTTATTTATTTGCAAGTTTTTTAATCACAGCATAATTTATATATACACATGTTAAAACAATTTTATTATTCTAATTATAATTTTGTTTTTTTTTAGTGTTTGCTATTTCTTTGTCGCTAAACATTGTCCATAAATTACATACAAATCAGCACTCATTCAGATATGAATCGATGATTCTTATCATTCCATATTTGAATGCATCGCGCCCCACACATTGATAGCAAACAAAGAGGTGCTNCGCTAAACATTGTCCATAAATTACACAAAAATCAGCACTCATTCAGATATGAATCGATGATTCTTATCATTCCATATTTGAATGCATCGCGCCCCACACATTGATAGCAAACAAAGAGGTGCTCTTTTCCTTAAGAGCTGAAGTCAATAAAAATGTATTCGAAACGTGTTCTCACTAAAATTGTACGTATCTTCAACAGCCACTGTCTATCTGCTTAACAAAAGCTTTAGACTGTCTCATCGCAGCCACGTTTCCGCTTAGCTGTGCGCTCTGCTATAATTCTTTATCGGATGAGTTTAGTTTTTGACTTGTTTANATTTTCTTTAAGAGCTGAAGTTAAGAAAAATGTGTTCGAAACGTGTTCTCACTAATTGTACGTATCTTCAACAGCCACTGTCTATCTGCTTAATAAAAGCTTTAGACTGTCTCATCGCAGCCACGTTTCCGCTTAGCTGTGCGCGCTCTGCTATAATTCTTTATCGGATGAGTTTAGTTTTTGACTTGTTTACAACCGAATTTACTTTATCTCTTATGTTTACACACTGACTGTCATCACTCTATGTATTTCTTAACATTTTTGTTTATCCTCATCATTCTAACCTAACGAAATTAGTCACAGTGAATTTTAAATTGCATTTCAACATACAAATGCTGCTAATATTTTAAGAATTCTTCTTAGTTTGTTTTCATTAAATTTCACGTTTTTCTTTGTCTAATAACACAGCAATTTTTTTTGCACTTTTAAATTTTCTGTTGTTTTGTTTATTTGCTTGTCTGTNTTGCATTTCAACATACAAATGCTGCTGATATTTTAAGAATTCTTCTTAGTTTGTTTTCATTAAATTTCACGTTTTTCTTCGTCTAATAACACAGCAATTTTTTTGCACTTTTAAATTTTCTGTTGTTTTGTTTATTTGCTTGTCTGTTTAATTTAGTTTTGACTTTAACGAGGAAAGAAAAACAAAAACACACGAAAAAAAAACATTTTAAAAGGCAAACCGAAAATAAAAAGTTTATGTTTCCCAGTGTTGTATTAGAACAGTGAGGAACATTTAGGTACATTTACCAAACTGGCGGCACAATAAGGAGCAGATTTACGANCGTTTTGACTTTAACGAGGAAAGAAAAATAAAAACACACGAAAAAAAAAACATTTTGAAAGGCAAACCGAAAATAAAAAGTTTATGTTTCCCAGAGTTGTATTAGAACAGTGAGGAAAATTTAGGTACATTTACCAAACTGGCGGCACAATAAGGAGCAGATTTACGATTTGCCAAAAGTATAAGCTGCATAGGGGCCAAAGTGGTCGGGGGTTGCATTTTTGTCAATCGCGGTTAATGTCCTCTCCAAAAAGGGCAATTGTAGTTGCCACGCCCACTCCCCGGTTGGAAACGACCATTTTGACTTGGATGAATTTTGGTTAGAAGTTTCCTCTAATCTTTCAAGTCCTGCCAAAAGAATTTTTTTTTCGAAAGATAAGGATTTTGCAAGTTTAATTTTTGAGCATCTCAAAAACTATTATAGTTTCAAAAACTGTTCTGGTCTATTTTCAAAGGTGTTTAAAAAATTCCGAAAAATAAAAGAAATATAGAATTTCGAAATTTAAAAAAAACAACATCATAAAAAATAAAAATAAAAAATTAAAATTTTTGGCTAATTTTTTTGTACAATACACTGACCTTAAAAGTTCTTAACATTTTCAAGATATGAATTTTTGAACTTTGGAACATTTTTTTTCCAAACTCTAAATAAAGCTATGTAAAAAACTTTTATTTAATTTAAATTTACTTTTAATCTATTATAAAAATTCAGAATAAAAAGGTGAATTTTTGATCGACAATTTGTTGAATTTTCCTAAATTTTGTATAAAGTTTGAAACTGTGATTTACACGGTTTTGGTTAAAGCTTAGACGATATTTTTATATAAAAATAACAAAAAAAATCTAGCTCGAAAAAATTACGTATATTTGAAGAAAATCGACACGTGGTCATTTGTTTGAGTCAATTCAAGTTGAATTTGCTTGTTTAAACATGTGGCAACCCTACTACATATAGTTTTGAATAAAGCCTTTCAAACGTATTTAGATTGATACCAATCTCCTTCAAACACCTCAAAAATAGCTTATATGTATATTCAAACTAAATATTGATAAAAATGTGGCAACCCCACTAAAAAAATTTAACCTTAATGCAAATCCGGGGGCCGTATCCTTTCACTTTGCATCTCATTTTTAGTTCAACTAACTGTGAAGATATTATAATTTTTAAAATGGTGGCAGCCCTATTAAAAAGATAATACATCATTGGACATCTAGCAGAGGCCAAGCACCTTCATTTGACACCTCATTTTCTGTAATCCAACAATATATTATTATATTTTTTATTATTAGTTCGCGTCATAACTCGTCAGCTTGCTAGTTCTACTCCACGGAACACAAAAATATTGTTCAGTATTTTTTTTTTTTAAATACGCACTACAAACACATTAAATAACAACGAAAAAACACACACACGATATGCACATTAACTAATTCTTATTAGAAATACCTTGACCTTTTTTTCCATATCTAATTTTGTTTATTTATATTAACTCAACCTTTCACAAGCTCATCACAATTGACTAATAATTTTGCACCAATTCTGACAAAATAACAGCTAATCATACACATGACTTTGAAAGCGCACTGAAAGCACAGGGTTGAAACTTCAAAGCTGTTATTTGGGAATTTTCTCAGTTGACATATGTACTTTTATAAAAGTAACTGATAACAAGAATATATAATACGCGACGGGATTTTTTGTTCAGGATAAAAGGTCTGTACCGTTCGCCCGATTTTCAAAAATGAAAAACTGTTGTTAGTTTTTTGAAAAGAGTTGCCACCTTCTAAAAAATTTAATTCATATTATTTAATAATCAAGGCCATCAAATCCGCACCGTTCGTTCGATTTTCCAAAGAGAGACGCCAAACTAAAAGCCTTAGACAGAAGATGTGAAATTAGGTTTTACTTTTTTGAAAAGAGTTGCCACCTTTTAAAAAATTATATTCAAAATATTTAAAATAATAAATAATTATTACAAAATGGGTATCAAGATGGGTGAAATACTTTGTTACTTAGCTAAACTATAGGAGGGTTGCCACATGCTCAAAAAATCATATTAGGTAAGAGAAATATGTATCACCATCAGATGAAAGAGATTTAAGAAGATTTTGTTTTGAGAATACATTTGAAAAAGAATTTCAAAAATTAGAGGTCAAATCAGAGGCCTTAGCCTGTAGATCTATGATAAAGTTTTATTTTTTAACTAAGAACTTTTCTCCCCAGTATAGGGTGATTTGAAATTCGATGGAAATAAAAATGTGCACTATGTATGCGAGACTGCTCTTCACTCAGAAACGACTGCACTGTTTTGATGAAATATGGCACTCGGATCTCTTATATGTAACTCTGACTAAAATTTGGAATATTTTTCAAGTTTTTGAAATTAAATTTTGGGCGTATTAACGCTATGCGGCAAAGTTTATTCACGGCTTTAAAGTATGGACCGAGTAAAGAAAGCTGCTACGATACTTTTGTTCATAGTGAATGCTTGACCAAATTTTCTTGATTTTTTTGGATATCCGAAAATACGAATATTAACCGGTTCTTTGTAAATCCGGATATCCGTAAAATTGCACAAACGAATATTAACTAGATATCCATACTATCCGGATTTTCTCCGGGTCAGCGAATAATCCCCCTGGATATTCGGATATTCGAATATGCGGATAGTCCCAGCCCTAGTATGTATGTACATACATACAGTATCGGTCATATCTATAGCACGCCATTTCCAAGTGATATTGTGTGCCACTTATGTTTATTTATTTATTTTTAAGAATTTTCAATTAAAATTTAGTTCATTATCAGACAAACCCCATATGTAGCCAAGTTCGACAATTTGTAGAAAACTACAAAAAAGTGTAACAAATTTTCACCTAAATTTGAAACTTTTTCCCCGGAAGTGTTAGAATTTTTTTGAGTACACAGTTTTTTAGCCCCTGCAATTTTAGTCTGATAATGTGTAAATTTCAAGTGGCTACGAGTTACCGTTAATTTTTTAGAATTTTTTTTGTCGCATTGGCTTCCATATAATGAATAAACTCAATTTATTTGTATATGGGAGAAAACCGAAAACACCGAAACGAGAAAACACCTTTGGCGAAAAAAATTCTAAAAAACCAACGGTAACTTTGCACTTGAAACTTGCAC